CAGTTAAGTAAGAAAAACATTAAGCCATCTTTATCAGATCCACAAACAACCCAGATAAACTCCTTTAGGATGAAGTTTAGTTAGAATGAATAGTTAGTACTTAGAATAACAAAATTTGCCAAATCATAAGAACCCTGTATAAAGCACTCCTACTTAGCTCTGAAAAATAATTTTTGCTGGATTATCAGATATCTAAAACTAATGATTTTATTATAAAGCATTATCAAACCAAACCAAGAGCACAGACAACAATTCTGTTTTCTTCTTTTTCCCCACAGGCAACCATTCTTACAGCAAGAGTTAAATTAAAATGATGCAGAGGTATTGCTGGTTACAGTGATGTTTCAATAACAGCTTTACCACACTAAAACAAATTTTTCCTAAGAAAACATCTCTTCTACTCATAAATGTCAAGTCAGCTCACAAGCTAGAGCCCCCAGTTTCCCCACAAATTAAAGAATAAATCCATCATACTCAACATTACACTCAATGGTGATTAACGGAAAGCTTTTCCTCTAAGATGAGAAACAAGACGATGATGCCCATTCTCACCACTTGATTCAACATAGTACTAGAAGTCCTTGTCAGAGCAATCGGACAAGAAAAAGAAATAAAAGACATCCAAATAAGAAAGGAAGAAGTAAAACTGTCTCTATTTGCAGATAGCATGATATTATATAGAGAAAACCCTAAAGACTCCACCAAAAGACTATTGGAATAACAGATGAAATCTGTTACAAATCATTAATAAAAGAAACTGAAGACAAAAATAAATGGAAAGATATTCCATGCTCATGGATTGAAAGAATTAATATTGTTAAAATGTCCATACTACCCAATGTAATCTACAGATTCAATGCAATCCCTATCAAAATTCCAATGACATTTTTCACATTAAGTAGAAAAAAAATCCTAAAATTTGTATGGAACCATAAAAGACCCCAAATAGCCAAAGCAACCCTCTGAATAAAGAACAAAGCTGGAGGCATCACATTTCCTGATTTCAAACTATATTACAAAGCTACAAAACAGTATGGTATTGGACACATAGATCAAAGGGATAAAATAGCACAGAAATAAAACCACATATAAACAGTCAATTAATTTATGACAAAGGAACCAAAAATATACACTAGGGAAAGAACAGTCTCTTCAATAAATGGTATTGACAAAAATAAACAGCTACATGCAGGAAAAAAAAAAACACTAAACCCCTATCTCACACCATCCACAAAAATTAACTCAACATAGATTAAAGACCTGAACATTAAGACCTGAAACCATAAAATCCTAGAAAAACAAACAGGGCGGTAAGTTTTCTTGGCATGAAAGCAAAGGCAGCAAAAGCAAAAATAAACAAGTGGAACTACATCAAACTATAAAGCTTCTGCACAGCAAAGGAAACTATCAACAAAATGAAAAGGCAATCTACCAAATGGGAAAAAATATTTGCAAATCATATATCTGATAAGAGGCTAATCTCCAAAATATCCAAAATATATAAAGAACACATAATCTAATATCAAAAAACCCCTAAACAATTTGATTAAAAAATGAGCAAGGAACTGAAAAATTATTTTCTCAAGACATAAAAATGCCAAACAGGTACATGAAAAGGTACTTAACATCACTCATCATTGGGGAACTCCAAATCAAAACCACAATTAGATTTACTTCACACATATCAGAATGTCTATCACCAAAAAGATAACAGATAACAAGTGTTTGCTAGGATGTGGAGAAAAGAGAACTCTTATACAGTGCTGGTGGGAATGTAAATTGGGGCAGCTGCTATAAAAGACAGTATGAAGGCTCCTTAAAAAATTAAAAAATAGAACTACCCTATGACCCAGCAATTCCATTTCTAGGTATACATCTGAAGGAAACAAAATCATTATCTCAAAGAGGTATCTGTACCCTCATGTTCGTTGCAGCATTATTTACAATAGTCAAGACATGAAAACAATCTAAGTACCCACTGATGATTGAATGGATAAAGAAAATGTGATAATAGTGTGTGTACATACAACACACACACATGAATATTATTAGGGATAAAATAGAAGGAAATCCTGCCATCAGTGACATGAATGGACCTTGAGGTCATTACTCTAAGTAAAATACATCAGACAGAGAAACAAATACTAAATGATCTCACTTATGTGTAGAATCTTAAAAAGAACCAAACTCATAGAAGAGATTGGTGGTTACCAGAGGCAGGGGTAAGGGGTGGGTAAAGTGGGTGAAGGCAGTCTAAAGGTATGAACTTCCATTTATAAGATTAATGAGTTCCGTGGATATAATATACAACATGGGGACTATAGTTTTAAAATACTGTATCATAGGGCGCCTGGGTGGCTCAGTTGGTTAAACAACTGCCTTCGGCTCAGGTCATGATCCTGGAGTCCCGGGATCGAGCCCCGCATCGGGCTCCCTGCTCAGCAGGGAGTCTGCTTCTCCCTCTGACCCTCCCCCCTCTTGTGCTCTCTCTCTTTCATTCTCTCTCAAATAAATAAAATCTTTAAAAAATAAAATAAAATACCATATCATATATTTGAAAGTTGATAAAAGAGTAGATCTTAAAAGCTCTCATCACAAGAAAAAAAAACACATAACTATGTGAGGGGAAGGATGTTAACTAAATTTATTATGGTAATCATTTCACTTTAGACACATGTATCAAATCATGTTGCACCTTTAGTACAATGTTATATGTCAATTATATCTCAATAAAACTGGGGGGGGGATTTTTTTTAAACCAATAATGTCCATACGTCTGTTAGGTGGTGACTGGTACACTTTTAAATACCAACCAAAAGCACTGCCCTGACATTACATTTGACACATAGTTAAAAGTATAACCATAAGGACTAAAACAAAGGTTATTTTACATATTGGTTAAAAATTAGAATTCTGTGATTGTGGTTCCCACAGTTTATATGAAAAAAATCAATCACATTATGAATAAACAATAAAAGGCTAAAAGCAATTAGGCAAGTATAATTTTTTGGATTTGATGGCACATCAACAACAAAAACCAATCCATGGCAGGAATGGATATTGTAGTTTCAGAAAGACAGGCATATGTTAAATGGGAAAAACATGTTTAAATGGTAACATTCCTTGAGATAGAGGTCTAGTAGATTTGGTATCAAGTTCTAGTGAGAAATAATTCACCATCATATCACAAAGTAACTAACTAAATGGTATTATTCTGTTATTTGCTGATATGCATCCATAATTCTCATTTTGAAGTAAAGATTTTTATTTTTCTGGTGCCATCAAGTGGTAACATTATGAAGTGCTCTAAGTTTAAAAGCAAATAACTTTGAGGAAAATATCACACTGATGTATCTATGTCAATTAAACACTAGTGACTTTTTAGCACAAAATCATCTAAAAAGAAAAGGGAAAATATCAGAGCTAACTGCAACTCATCCCGATCTTAAATTCCCAACCCAAAATGAGAGTTAAGACAAAGAAGAAAAATGTGTAGATCTTTAAAGACCAGAATGCTCTACTGGCAAACAAAAAACCCTAATTAACTATGACACTACTTGAGAAACAAAAATTTGTATCAAAATGACGTTATCAGTCAAACCATGAGAAATGCTCCCTCCGGAAACTCCAATAACAGGGCAGTAAAAGAATTATTTTTAAGGTAAAAGCCCAAATTTTTTGGACAAAGAGATTAAGAGAGAAGACTACAGCAAAAACATCTGACAAGCTAGAAAACAGATGGATGAATGGTTATTGACTTGAGAAGTTCAAGAAAGCTGCCTGACTTATATGACACTGGAAACCTCTCCAAAAGTTTGAGAACTGGTAGCACTGGGTAGCTGTGAAAATCAGAGTAAGGGCTAAAAACAAGAGCATTAGTCAAAATTCTGGTTCAAAAGCACTGATGCCTACACCCACTCCCTCTTCAGTCCATGCAGCCAAGCATTCATCTTATACCACATTAGAAGACTGAAAGTTCATACTCTAATAAAAAAGAAAACTCTGGACAGGACACCAAGCATAGTGAGGGGGGAAATACTGTAGTAAAAAAGTGTTAGTGCTATAGAAGACTATGGTCATGTGAATGGCACTAACAAGTCAAAGGTCACAGAACAACAGTAAAAATGATGATTTTCTGGAAAGCAAACCACTGGAAGAAGGTCCTACCAGCCTTTGATTATTGTGTCCAAAAAGTCAAGTAACTAACTACAGTATGCTTCACACTCTTTCTATAAGTAAAAGACAAATGACTAAAACAAAAATCTGATGCTTAAAAAAAAGGTAAGTCCTACTTATAGACATTCAGAAACATTCAGCTCCCACAACACCCCAGTAATTAGCTGAGAATTTATGACAATTAACAAAGAACAGAATAGTAGGCAAATCAAGAATCTTTACATTTCATCTCCTCTCTTCAGGCCAGCAAGAATAAATGCACTAAAGAATCTCTGCAAATACTTCTGAGAGAGGTGAAGGCTGGTGAACACTAGCCATGTCAGAAAAAAACAGATTATTATTCATCAAGAGACATGGAGATTTGATTTTTTTAAAACCTGTTGTTGGTTAATTGATCAAAGTAGAGAGTTAAGCAGCTCCGATACTGCCTTCCATTCATGTAACTGAAAGTATAAACCTGAATGTAGGTCTTTTTTTTTTTGAGAGAGAGAGAGAGAGAGAATGCACATGAGCAGGGCAAGGGGCAGGGGAGAGGGAGAGAGAGAATCCTAAGCAGGCTCCACACCCAGCAAAAAGCCTGATGCGGGGCTCAATTTCACTACCCTGAGATCATGACCTGAGCCGAAATCAAGAGTCAAATGCTTAACTGACTGAGCCACCCAGGTGCCCCCCAAATGTAGGTCATTTAATCTTCAGTAATTTCTCACTTTCAGTCTTGTTTTTACAGAGGGCTATACACAAGGTATAGTTATATAGATGCACTTTTCTTTCCAGACACCAACATAAAAACATTCCAAAACATATTAATACTGATAAAATTGTACCTTGAACACCTTCTAGGAGTAAATCAACTCCCTTCCTATAAAAATTGGAAGCGGCTTCATAGTCATCTTCTTCTTCCTTTTTTAAAGCCAGCTTTATTAATTCTCCTGCTTTCTCCAAATAATCTCTCTTGCCAAGCTTGGATTTTAAACTGCCAGGAAAGAGGCTGCGACTTTCCCGTTCTTCTTCTGGTTTGTTCTGTTCGCTGTCAGAAGCAACAGCCCCTAGTGCTGAAGGATCCGAAGACAGACTGAGACCAAAAGTTCTAATGGGAGAATTTTGATTGGAAGCCATTCCATCATCTAACTCAGCAAGAGAATCCACGTCAACAGTAAGAGATATCAGATCACTGTCGCTGGAGAAACCTAGAAATATGATCACAATAGTAAATAGATATTAAATTAAGAATCAGCCAAAAAGAATACAAATCATGCTGACTATTCATTTGTTCATACTATCCAAGTTGATTAGGAAGGCTGTCATTGCCTGATAGAGATCGGTGCCTGGCAATTTGTTTCTGCTTACTTCATTCATTTCTGCACTCAATGTAAGCTCTAGAAGCCAATCTCCTTCGCCTTAATTATCACACTAAAACTGAAGGCAAGTCTTTATCTAGCCTTGTTGTCAAAAAGAAGAGCCTTTACCACAAGATCTTGTAACATCATCATTATGATAAAAGGAAAAAAATAAGAACTTCAGGGTAAGACAAAAACAAGTGCTTGGATCTCAGCTCTTAAAACTTATTATGTGACCAAAAGAGAGTCACTTAATAATATTACTTATTATGTAGGATTTTAAATGAGGAACAGAGTTAATGCATATAAAGCACAATAGACTTACCATTCAATTACAACTATTATAGCAATTATATAATCATTATTTAACTATCATACAACGTACCCTCACAGAGGTGTGCTTTTAGATAATCATCCATATCTGGAAAATGTATGCCATTTAGTTGTGTTTTTTTTTTAAAGGACTAAATTTTTAGATACCTTTGTTTCAATCTCTTCCACAAGCTTTTGGAGAGAGCTTTGGTCTATATACGCCTCTTAGTTTTCTTTTTTTTTAAAAAGATTTTATTTATTTATTTGAGAGAGAGAGAGAATGAGAGATAGCACGAGAGGGAAGAGGGTCAGAGGGAGAAACAGACTCCCTGCTGAGCAGGGAGCCCGACATGGGACTCGATCCCGGGACTCCAGGATCATGACCTGAGCCGAAGGCAGTCACTTAACCAACTGAGCCACCCAGGCGCCCACGCCTCTTAGTTTTCTGACAGAAAATGAATGAACAGATGGTACTGAAATATTCAGCAATGAAAATTCTCACATTTCATAGAACTGACTTCATGGTAAATGAGCATGAGGTCTTAGGATCTCCCTTTACATTCTTAAAATAATTGAGAGCCTCAAAAAACTTTTGTTTTTGTGGATTATACCTGCAAATGTTTACCAATCTTAATATTTAAATAGACTAAAAATGTTTTTAAACACTAAAACCCATTACATGTTAACATAATTTTTATTAAAAATAACTATATTCTTGGGGTGTCTCAGTGGCTCAGTTGGTTAAGCATCTGCCTTCAGCTCAGGTCGTGACCTCCGGGTCCTGGGATAGAGCCCCACATCGGGCTCCCTACTTAGCAGGGGAGCCTGCTTCTCCCTCTCCCTCTCCCCCCCACCGGCTCCCGTGCTCTCACTCTCTCTCTCTCAAATGAATAAATAAATAAAATCTTTCAAAAAAAAAAAACTATATTCTCCAAAACAAAGAAGTATTGAATGAGAGAAGTGACACTGTTTCAAATTTTTACAAATCTTTTTAACAGGAGGTGACTAGATTCTCATATCTGATCCTGCACTCAATCTGTTGTCATGTTGTTTTGGCTGAAAGATTTGAGGAAAATCTGACATAGATATGTAATGAAAATGGGGTGAATATTTTAGTAGCCTTTTCGAATATTTATGGATATTATTTTTTGATACTACACCAAAACTTGACAAGTGGTAGTTTCTTAAAGTTTTGTTGCCATGTAGAATATAAATTCCTATCAGTGAAATTTCTGTTTCTGTCACATTCAAATACATCGGTCTGTCTTGCACACTGAATGGCTCTTTTATCCATGCCTGAGTTTGTAACATCACACACTGGACATTTTGAAAGTACTGGTTCCCTGAGTTATATAGATCTTCCAAATACTGACGAATTTCATTATTACACTATCCCCCTCCAAAATTACATTTGTTACTATCATCATCAATCTCATCAGAATATTTTCTTTAGATACTGGGAAACTGTCAAGCTCAAAGCAGATATGAGTTCTCCAAAATTCAGGCATCTGGCTGGCTCAGTTGGTAGAGCTTGTGCCTCTTGATCTCAGGGTCCTGAGTTTGAACCCCATGCTGGGTGTAAAGATTAAAAACAAAAACAAAAACAAAAAAACAAGTTCTCCAAAATTCGAATTTGGAATTGAAAACTCACATTTTATCGTTGGCAACAAATACTGTCAGTTGTTTTCCCTAAAGTGTCAGCTCACTTCATTTGCTTTTGAAAAAATATTTGCCAAATACCCGTCTGAATAATGACAGTTTGTCTGTCAGTGGTTCTTTCAAGCAAAAATGATGTCCCAAGAGAAAAGCAGCTAGTTCATGGCTCAAACAAGTGCTTTTCCTCCAGACAACTAGAGCAATTCAATATGCAGAAGTGTTTTATGCATACTTCCATTTTATCACACAGAATATCAAGAAGACATGTACCCAAAGGTTGAGATTTGATAAAAATTGATAGTTTTTACTGCTTTATCAAAGGCATTTTTAGGCAACATTAACACTGGCATTAATGCATGTGCAATGATTCCTGTTACAGTCTGCTCCCTGTCCTGCTTCATGCTCAGGCACAACAGTTTTACCTACCATTGCTTTTGCATCATTAGTGCAAATGTCAACACAGTGAAAAAGGCAAACAATTTCCTAGACTATATAAAAACAGTTTCTGCCTTGGGGACCCCCTAAAAAGATCTCCGGAATACCCAGGCATCTGAAGACCATACTTTGAGAGCCACTGCTCTCTATCATTCAATAAGATTGACAATAAGATTGACAGCTATGTAAAAATTAAGTTTGGGAACAACTATGTGATCTGTATCACCACTAAATACTGACTCTCAAGTTTCTCAGGAAAGAAAATATATCGAAAAGAAAATTATTTCCTCAGGACCATATACAAAGCCAAACTTAAAGGTGGGTTAGAGTACACAATTCTAGGTCAGGGATCAGCAAACTTTTCTTCTGAGGACTAGAGAGTGACTATTTTAGGCTTTGTGGGCTACATGATCTATGTCACAACTAATCAACTCTGCTATTGTAATACAAAAACAAGCAGCCACAGATAATATGTAAATGAATAAGAACGGTTGTGTTCCAGTAACACTTTATTTATGGATGCCGAAATTTGAATTCCATATAATTTTCACATGCCACAAAATAATATTCTTTTGAATTCTGTCAACCATTTAAAATGTAAAAACCATTCTTAGCTAGTAGGTCATATAAAAACAGGTGGCAGGTCGGATTTGGCCCAGAGGCCATAGTTTGTCAACCCTTATTATAGACTCAAATTGCTTACTTCATATCAAATAAAATAAGTTAGGGTAAAAACATGTTACTGGCAGCTAAACTCAAATTTCAAATCAGCTTCAGACACTACTTTGGCACGCTGTCAACATATCCTGTCTTGAGGGGTTTTTCTCAAATCCTTAGAATGCCCATAAAGAACTCACTTTGTTCCCTAAAAGCAAAAGACTTCATTAAATCCACAATCTGAGATGAGATTCACTGGACCTAGTGGAAATCTTTTCAATCTCTGACATTTCAACTGTACAGACAGCACTTCAAAATCAAAATCTTTTATAGCAGTCTATAAAATTATTTATCCACTCTTCTGAGAAATATACAAACTTTAGATTTTTTTAATTGATCTAAAATATTTTATATATTTCAATGCACATTTATTTCCTTAAAGGGGGCCTTATATAACCTAGTCCATTGATATTAATAAACAAATAGACAAAGTTTAAAAAATAAGTTCTGATTTATACAGCTAATCATAAAAGAAAGGAAATGCTGCTATAGATCTTTTGTCTGCTCTCTGGTGTCTTGTCACTGTAACCTTCACATCATCTATCACATTGTACTGTTTCATGTTTTGCCTGATTTTCCTTTCTAACACGAACAATAATACCAAAGGGCAAAGGGGTAAAATTATGTGTACTCAGTTTCTTGGCTTTTGACCACAAAAATCTAGTGACATAGTCTTATTTCCTCCCTTACCTTTCCAATCATATTTTGTTAGCAAAGGAAATCATGATTAAATAAAATTACATCAGAAGAGTAAGACCATCAAAATACCTAGGAATAAGGTCAGATAATGAAACAAAGAAATAATAATAATATTCAAATTGTTTCCTTTTCAAATTGTACCTAATTCTAAATGAAGAATCTTTCAAAGTGAGCAAACAAAAGAAAAACTAGCAGGTTAGGATAAGGAATTTTTCTAGTCCAACTATGAGAAGCAAAGGAAAGCAAAAAGACTTCTGATTCAACCTTTTTGGAGGACAATTTGGCAATACATATCAGATGCAAAAAATGCTTATATCTTTGATTCAGCAATTTATATCAAAAACAATCAGAGATATGACAAAAGATCTATACATGACAATATCCATCACAAAAATTGGTGAAAATTTAGAAATAACAAATTCCTGACAATTGGAGATTACGGTACATCCCTTGAGAAAATATTATACAGCTACTAAAAATTATGTTATAGGCAAATGCTTAATGCTAAAGTGTTCATTATCTATTATGCAAAAACGACAAACTGTAAAGCAGTATATAATATACTGTAATTCTAGTTTTAAAACAAAATACAGGAAAAAAAGGCCAGAGAAGTGTATTAAACATTGACAGCAATTTTCCCTGTATGGTGGGATTACAGGTGACTCTTATCACATTCCTTTATGTGAATGGCAAGCTCTTAAGCCTCGGTACCTAACGGATATCAAAGGAGATGCAGCAAGGGCTAAAACTGGGAATTTGTTTGTGAATAAATCTATGTTATATAAACATAATTTATGAAATATAGGCCCGTAAGAATAATCCAGCAGCCAGTGCCAAGAATTCCTAACTTAGGAGAGAAGACAGAAGTGATTATAGACAGATCCGTTTGAAGCAGACTAACCCTTGACACTTCTTCCTTGCCTATCTTCTTCCTTTAATTCTCCTCTGAAGATGCACCCTACCAGATCTGAAAAGCCTAACTCTATCATATCGCAACCATACACTGCAACTAGTTGTCTTCTAGTACTCTC